ACGCCTCGGCCAGGTCGGGCCGGGCCGCGCGGGTCGCCACTTTCTTCTGCACATTTCTTCCCGTTCTACACTACCAGCGTGTGCTCCACTCTACTACCCCTACCCCGCCTCCTCTCACCCCCTGATTCACTCCTGGCCCTATCCTCTCTTTCACCGCTCACCCCTCGCTCAGCCGATGAACGCTCTCGTAGCGCCTGGTAGGTAGGCAGCATCTCGCCTGCAGAGCATGCGTGTACTGCGGGGTGGCCTACCCCAAGTCTCGCAGGCGCCAAGCTCCCCTCATTTACGAAATCAGACAAGCACGGACGGTTTTTTTGTTTAGTTTTCGGACGATCGTGGTCCTTTTGGGCTATGGAAGATTAAACTAAAATAAACGCTTGCGATATACCGTTAGTAATAATGCCATGGGACTTGTAAAACTAGAAAATGAAGGGAGTCGACCAATTATTTGTTTTGGTCATAACCACCGAGTCGACCCGAAAATCGTGACTCCCGCTCCATGGACTGGCTCGATAACATTCGTCCTCCCCGACACGACGTAGTGGCAAGTAGTAGCGATGTTGGTGAAGAACGAGTAAAAGAAACTAAAAATACAATCAACACCTCCTCGGACGAGGAGAACAGCTAGGACGGTTTCTCCTCTCTCATCGGCTCATGTAAAATTAATCTGCCCACGGGAGTAATTGCATTTCGCAGACTACGTGCGTGCTATGCCTGTGTCATTCCGTCTGTCTGTCTGTCTGTCTGTCTGTCTGTCTGTCTGTCTGTCTGTCTGTCTGTCTGTCTGTCTGTCTGTCTGTCCTTTTGCCTTGCATGCCGCACACACAGTAGCCGGGCTGTACACCACCACGGCGCTGCACTTTAGGCCCCACACTGTCATGGGCCGACACGGCCTTGACGTGCGTCACGGGGGACTTGACTTTCTCTCCACTTGCATTCAACACAACGGCAGGGCAGGGCAGGACGACGGGGGCCCCGCCGCAGAGGGGCGTCATGGCCGCACCCAGGAGGAGTGGGACGGGTAATGTTCGGTGCAGTGACTGTGGCAGTGTGTGTGTGCGTGTGTGCGAGGGGGGGGGGGGTGGAGCCACCGTGGGCTTCCGATACTGTGCGACTCGTGCTCGATACTGTTGGACTCTCTATAGGTGGGTCACGCCGGTTTGGAGGCCCGCGCGCACGCGGAGGCTGCTGTGGCGCCGAGCCAACCTCCCGGGCCTTGACCGACCTTCCCCGCCCCGCCCCGCCC